TTAAAGATATAGTTCTACAATATACTTTTTTAGAAGTTGTTCATTAAAAATATTATCTAAAATATTAAATTGAAAATAATATTAAATTGACTAACAAGTTCTGCTGGTTTGCTGGTAAGGAATTGTGCTGCCAAAGCAAAGGTATGCAGTTCAAATCTACCAGCTGCTCCGCGAGAGAAAGATGCACAATACATGTACATCTCCTGTGTGATTCACGGCTTCTGAAATCCCACTTGGCGGGTCAGCTAGAGTTGGTTCCCACTCAGTGGTACATTGCAACAACAATGTATACGTTCATATATTCTTTTACAATTTCGACATATAAGGGTTGACATTACGGTTTAAGTTTGCTATATTTGAGTGAAAAATACTATCCTTTTCACTCCAGTGGTAATCTCTAGTATAAATTTACCCATTTGGATCATGATATATGATAATTAATGCTTGTGTTTCTAGGTATTGCTTACTTAAGTGGAATGTGTAGTGAAAAGAGAAAATGCATTATTGCTGAAGACAATGGCTTGAATCTTGCATTCACGATTGCTCATGAAATGGGTCACAAGTAAGTATATTGTGTTTTTTACCAGTGTATTAACTTACCATTTTGTAATTTGAGTGGCTGTGTTACATAAATATCCTTTGTAATTTGTTTCCTTTGAAGTTGATGTTTTAAAGATTATGGAAATAAGAAATGGGAGAAAAGAGAATACTTAATTAGAAATTTTTCTGAATGTGCTATTCTACACAGTCTTATTTAAATTCTCTATAGTTCAATAATTATGCACTTAAAGCCAAGCTGGATATGTCGTTACTCCTAAATAGCTGTGGATTGGGAACAGTTCTAACCACTTCTCAGATTATTTTGTCTAGAAAGCATGGAGAGGCAAATAATAATATTCATATTTTTGAAATATTAATAGTAACAATACCCATTATCCATAGAAACATTAGTAAGTACTTACTATGGTGCCAGACTTAAAACTCTGTGTGTTATATTCTTCATAAAAAACTTATCAGAGAGAGCTTTTTTGGTGTTACTATGGGACATCAGGTCCATACTGATTCCTCTGATGGTAAATTTTGAAGCCTTGGTGGTGCAGAGTTACATATTACAAAGTTGTATTTGTTGCTAGCTGAGATGCCAGCAGCCCAAATCTACCAAGTGCTGAGAGGGAGAAAGAGGAGGTATTCTGTTTCTGTGAAACTTTACAACCTTGGAAATTCTCTGGAGTAGTCCTTCTCTATTCTACAGGGGTCCTTTGAAGGCTAAAGGATAATCTTAGGAGTTGACCATAGAGTCTATTTTTCTCTCATAGTATGACTTCTGGACTTGAACCACTGGCATTCATCTAGCCCCCCAGTTTATAACCATGTTACACTCTAGGTCTGTTGTACTTATTTATCTAAAGTGGAACTGACATGCAGAGGAGTTAATTCAACCTGTCAAAGTTATGCAAATAGCAAATGGTGGAGCAAGGTTTTGAGCCATGACATTTCAAATTAAGGTACACTGTTTTGAATTATCTTTAATAAAATTTCTGATCTCTGTAAGGCTTGATTTCCTCATTTGTAAAATACAGATAACACTTCTGTTGACCTGTGACGTTGATGTGAGTCTCAAATTACACTTCAATTACTAGTTGCAGTATTTGAACTCTTGACGGTCTCCTGTGTTTCAGAGTCAAACAATGCTCCAGAGGGCATTTAGTGGCTATAATCTTTCAGAGTTAGATTTTCAGGGCTATCTCCAGCAGTGCCTTTTGTTGGCCTTAAACTGCCAACCCATTCTAATTAGTAGTTACTAGTTTTAGTTAGTAGCTGACAGTTTAACAGGCAATATTTTATGATAGAAATTACATGAGTTGTGAAATCAAAATTAGCTTTGGCTCAAGTTTTCTCCACTTGCCTAATAATACTACGAGCAGTAGAAAGAAAAGGTGTTGTGTTGTTATTATGTACCATTGAGTCAGAACTGACTCATAGCCAACCTGCAGCAAATTTTTAGAAGCTGTAAATCACAAAGAGCTAGCTCATCTTTCTTTTCACAGGAGCTGCTCATTTTGAACCTTGTGTTTTTTAGTTGGCAGTGCAGCTCCTGATGACTATGTCACCAGAGCACCCGAAAGCATTAAAACAGGGTCTAAAACTTGACAAGGTTCCACTGTGGAATGTGAGCATGTGGAGGCACCTCGGATCAAAGATATAGTTAGACCTTCAGTTTACAAATCCTAAGTACCTTCCAACATTACAAAGTTAAAAAAAAAGACATTAGAAGAAATATTTCTAGACCTAGTAGCACTGAGCCACAGTTGTATAGGGGAGCCATTTGTTAGAGTGAAGCAAAATCACTACCTTTCAACCTCTCTCTTTCATCACAAACAACAGCACTATCTAGTATTTTACACAGAGTCCACTTCATTTTCATTATATGCCTAGGCTTTGTAGACAATTGGGTTACATTTTTATTTGTAGTAGATTGTGACTAATACAAGTAAGTTTAGAATTAACAGTTTGTATCAGCCTTTAGAGTGGTCAGTTGAAAAATAGCAAACTTACATTTTATTCAGCCAAACATAAAAAGAGCAAAGTTATAAACAGTAATTGTACAACTTAATGAGTTAAAATGGAACATATCCATTTATTAAACCCACTAAAAGGACATTATCAACCACGATTAATTTTTATGTCATGTAAATTTGTGTTGATGAGTTGACTAGGATTGATCATAGTGACCTTATGAACAACAGATCAGAAACTTGCCCTATTCTCTGCCATTCTCATGGTCTCAGATGTGCCTGAACCTATTTTTATGGTGGTGGTGGTGGGGTGCTCCTCTCTTTTGCCGATCTCCAACTTTCTTAGTATAATATCTTTTTCCCAGGACTGGCCCCTCCTAAAAACATGCCCCAAAAATCTGAAATCAAGTTTCCTTGCCTCTAACCAGCCTTAGGGAAGTTGTGCTTCTTCCAAAACAAATTTGTTTTTCTTAAATGTATCGATATACAAAGAGTTTGTTTTCTCCAGTGCAGACTTTCCATTTTCAGTTGACTACACTGGAATACAAGGAATTTGTTATATCAAAACAGTAATAGTAATAAACACATGAATAAATAATTAAGAAATTCATCTGAAAACTCATTGCCTTGAAGTTTGAAATGACTCTTAGCTGACCCTTCAGCTGGTTTATAGAGGTTATAAATTACACCAGAGAAGGTTGTCCATCTTTTTCTCTTGGTGGGTTCAAACTATCTGCTTTTAAGTTGATAACAAAAATCCTTACGCACTAGACCACTGTGTGGTTGTTGCATACCATTGAGTCAGAACTGACCTACAGCTGACCCTCTGGCAGGTTTTCAAAGGTACTTAATCAATGGGAAGAGATTGTCCAGCCTTCACCCAGAGAGCAACTGGTGGGTTTGAACTACAGTCCTTTAGGATTGCAGTGTGGCTTCTTACCACTAGGCTACCAGAAAACACCCTAAATTAATGTAATATAATTAAAATTCTTTATGGAAAGGATGCAATAATTTTTTTCACTATTGAAGTCCAGAAATTATGGAATTTATATTCTTAGTTGCAGTACAATTCTACCATTTAAAGGTAATTTCAGTTTACTCCTGGTAAGAAAAACCTTGGCTATCCTTTGGAAGAAAATTATTAGAGGCTAGAAAGGGTAATTTCCAAATATTTAACAAGTGGAGATTAATTTTAAACCACAGTCCCTTAATATGGGCTAAATATTTAAATAATACTAATTTTACTTTTATTTATGCAGTAACAGTTTGGTAGACAAGTCGTATGAATATATTTTCATGAAGAAACACGTTAAATAATTTCATCAAGTACTCTGAATACTAAGGGACTTATTGTTAAAAGTTGATTGGCTTTTGAAACCATATATGCAAAATGAATTTCTTCAGTTTCTAAAATGTAGAAAAACTACTTGCTAAAGGAATCAATATGAATACAAATTATTTACAAATACTAAAAATCTTGGTGAAAAAGCTAAATCTACTTAAAACAATAAAACTAAAGTAACATAAGCAAAGGCTACTTATGACTTTATGTAGCAGCAACATTGGTTTATGATTGGGAACTCAGGTTAAAATGATTAAGATTGTACTAAAATATTGTTTTAGTAGACTTTAATTAAGCTGTACCCAAAATCAATAAAGATTTGCCAAATGTGTGTGTAATGCTACATGAATCAAGATTAGTACATGAGATATATTTTTTATTACTTAGTTGCTAGAAATTCTCTTTACCAGGGAGCAAATATTTTTCTCAAATGGAGAGCATAGTGTTTTCTTGATAATGGATAGACATAAAGTCAGTGAGAATAATGCTATCTTTCTTCAATAATTAGAGGATTTTCATTTTTATGAGCTGTATAGTCCAGTATAAGATTTAAAGAAGAAGTTTGTAAAACCAAAAAATGTTTATGTCTTCTCATAGCCAGCCAAAAAAGTTTTTCTAGAAAAGAGATAGTTATGCATATAGATGCCATTTGACACAAAAATCAGTACAACACTTTTAGCTACAGTTGTGATAAAAACTCATTTAAAAGTTTGTAACTTTTTTTTCTCTTAGAGATATCTTTCTTTTCTAAAATTTTATTATATATTAGAAGGCATCTTCTAGAACTTATTAATTCTAATTTTCCAATATATATCCTAATTTAGTAAGCAAATGAGTCCTGTAATTCTGCAACTCACAATTTTAGCATAGCAGAATAATTTCATTGTGTTTTGAAGATTTTTTCCTCTCATTCTTTTGTGTTAATTTGATATTTAATTATTTCTGATCCATATATTTTTAGTAAATTCAGTTATTTTATCTCTTTCCTTTATTATTACTTCCATGTTGTTGTTGTGGAGTACTGTCAATTTTGAACTGACCGGTAGCTGACCCTCCAGTGAGTTTTCGGAAGCAGTTAATTGCACAGGAGAATATTGCCTGCCTTTCTCCCAAGAAGCAGCTGGAGAATTAGAAATGAATGCATTCAGGATTTCAGCACGCATTCTTCATTCTTTTTTTTTTTAATGTTCAGTAAATTTTAATCGCTATTTGATATAAAATGTATAACATTTTCTCCTAGATTTTATTTTCTTTTTAAAATTTTTTATT